CAGCTGAACCTCATGAAAAAACTGCAAATGTAATGAATACATTATGATAATATCCATTATGTGCTCAAAAAGGTAATTAAAAAGAAAAGTAGTCAGCCAACCCAAATAAAATCGGGTCATTTGATTATGCTCTAGACTGTTTGGCAGAGGTTTTAGGGTTTTAGGAGCGCTGGAGATTGAGTAGAGAGGGCCGTGCCATCTTCTCTTTCTCTCCAGGGCTCTTATTCCAGGGAGAAAGAAAGACTCGTGTGTCACACCCACCTCTTCCACAGCAAAACAACACCCTCTCAACTGCTACCAAAGGGTCTGATGTAACAGAGGGCGACAAAAGCAGCATTTTAACAGTTAGGGTGATACAAAAGGGCATAATGGAGTCACATATACATCCATTCATTGATAAAGTATTATTCTCGGTTCTCATGGCCCTGTACGCGGCTGCCTAGCAACAACATGAGCCCGCATCAGCACCAGCATCAGCATCAGCATCATAACCATAAAACACCATAAACTATCCAATCACGCTTTTAACTGAGGACAATTATACTCCAACATGAGGGGTAAATAAAATAGAAACAGGTTTCCAGTCTACACGAGTAGCATCATGCCTCATAAATGAAAACAAGGCTCCAGGGCCTCTGATTAATAAAATACAACACGCTTTAATAACAGTAGCACGCATCAACACGCATATTTAAATTATTCACCCAATCTAATTGCATTTTGTCCAGTGCTCTTTCTGATGAGGGTGTAGTAAATCATTATTATAGGATATTCGTGCGCTCATACGCTATCATAGCACATAAGCAGCGTCAATGTGATGCATGCGTGGAGTCTGAAATTCCTTCATGTGCATGCACTGATTAAATCCCTGGAAAACTCAGCTAAAATAGTGATGGAAAAATGAGGCAAGAGATGCATACCTTACAACATCCTCTCCTCTTTGTCCTTTGCGCGCACAGACGCCCTGTGAATCTGCAATGCAATGCAATGTGTCTAAACCTAGCGATCGATAACCAGGCTCGTTTTTCCAGTGTGAACGGTGTTGATGTGGGTCTGTGTTTTCCTAGCCCTCCGCATCCCTCTGTTTTTGACGTTTATGCCAGGCTGGACCGGCCCACGACCACGCCTGCCAGATTCATCACCTCCCCACTGTCTGCATCCAGATCCTGCGAGGATTTCAGCAGTACCCTGGCTTTGCTCGACTGCAGCGGAGAGACACTGGCACAGCTGTATGAAAGGAAGACAGTCGGAAGGTTTTCCAGCTCGGAGCAGCGACGATTTGTCGGATCACAGATGCTTTATTCTGGATGCTTTTCCCTGCTGAATGATGCAGCTGCGGATTGAAGACGCCACATGCTGGTGCTTTTCTGACATTACAAGAAGCAAAGGTCACATGGTTGTTCTTAAAAGATGATTCATTTTCCTATTTAAGAACAAAAAAGTAAGACTCATGCATATAAATAAATATCAAATAGATTTCGTGAAGTCTAAGTATAAGCACTATATAGTAGCCTATATGTGTCCCTGGAGCACAAAACCAGTCATAAGGGTCCATTTTTGGAAATAAACTTTCCATTGATGTATGGTTTGTTAGGATAGGACAATATTTGGCTGAGATACAACTATTTGAAAACCTGGAATCTGAGGGTGCAAAAAAAAATCAAAATATTGAGAAAACCATCTTTAAAGTTGTCCAAATGAAGTTCTTAGCAACGCATATTACTAATCAAAAATTAAGTTTTGATATATTTACGGTAGGACATTTACAAAATATCTTCATGGAACATGATCTTTACTTAATATCCTAATGATTTTTGGCATAAAAGAAAAATGTATAATTGTGACCCATACAATGTATTGTTGGCTATTGCTACAAATATACCCCAGCGACTTAACACTGCTTTTGTGCTGCAGGGACACATAAAAAAAAAAAAAAATTCCACTGCAAAAAGAACAAAAAACTCAAATGATTAAGATTAGGAATTTCTGCATTTCAGTGCGTTTTACACTTTGTAGAAAAGTTTTTAAAAAGTCTTTAATCTATATTATGAATTCAACATGAATGAGACTTTTCAAAGACCATCTTAAACACCCGTATTTGTCATTGACCCATATGCCTTTTAATCTTCACTGTAATAAATAAATAAAATAATCATTCAAAGTTGTAAATAACACAGATTATGAGAGTAGGTTTTGCAAGAAAATATTTGTCTTTCCACATCAAGATTTAATGTTTAATTCAATGTGTTACTTGTCACATATTTGTAATTATTTGTTACATTTACTAATAATTTCCTGGGTATTGATTGATTACATGTAACCTGGATTATGTAATCAGATTCCAAAAATTAGTATTGGAGTAGATTATATTTTAAAAAGCTCATAATATGATTACAGTTACTTTTTATGGATTACGTATTATTGACACAATGGCAGTAAATTATTTGTAATGGAATGAAAATAAAAAGATTTCAAACCTGGAAGACTGTGTGCATGTGAAGTCATTGTTGTTTTCATGTTTATTAATGTTTGTTCATATAATGCAGGGACTCCCAAACCTTTTTTGTCAGCTGGAGCCCTTAAAATATAATATGTGTATATAATTTAATATATGTATTTAATTTAAAATCACACACTCACGTTTACAGTTCTCTGACGTTGGTTAATGGTCACATGCACAAACTTGTAATATGTTTAGTGTTCAAGGGTTTTATTAATTTTTATTTTACATTTTTAAGATTTAATTATTAGCTTTTTATTCAATCACAAACTCACTGCAGTTCTTACATTAAGCCCAGTTTGGCAAACCCTGGTGTAATGTAATGTGCAATTTATTTTATGTTGATATATATATAAATGAATATATTTTCTTTCTCTTTGCTCTTTTATATCAACATAGTATGTTTAATGCAAGTTTAAAACAAGTTTGATCAAAGTAATCTAACAAGTTTATCATCATTTAATCTGTAATCAGTAACGTAATCCAGCTCTGGCGATTTCTTATTAAAATTATTCCTATAGGCTACCATTTTTTGTGTGTGTGTTGATGTTGAAAACATTCATGTTCTGTAAAAATGAAATCACTTTAAAATCACCATTTACAATTTATTCACATTTGCAAAACATAAATGTGATAAGACTCAACATAAACTTCATATGCATTCTCTCCCATGTGTAAACGAGTTTGCTCTTATGAGGAAATAAATACAGCAAAATAAAGTCTCATGACAGTTCAGTATCAAATCAACCATCAAGTTACTCATCATCCGCTGCGGTCGTCACGCTCATGTCCTCAGACTGAAAGGGGTTCGACGTCGACTCCAGGACCTGAGACAGAGACCAGCACTGCAGTGACAGCACAAGATCCCACCAAAACCTCTACCAAGTCTGAGGTCCACTAGAAAAAAATTATATATATATTAGTGCTGTCAAATGATTAATCGTGATTAACCGCATCCAAAATAAATGTTTTTGTTTACATAATACATGTGTACTGTGGTTATTTATTATGTATATATAATACAGTACATATTTTGAAAATATTTATATGTATATACATTGATATATTTATATTTTATATGATATATATAAATATATTTAATATATAAACATAAAATTTTTCTTAAATATATACATGCATGTGTGTATTAATCTATACATAAATATACACACTCGTATATTATGTAAACAAAAACTTTTATTTTGGATGTGATTAATCGTTTGACAGCACTAATTATTATATATATATATATATACAGTAGTCAACATTTGAAGTGGATCAAAAAAGTTAATCAAAGTTGCCCCAAGACAAGAAAACATTTTGGTTTTAGGTTTTAGGACAACTTTGATGAAAGGTTTTGATTCACTTCAAATGTTGACAACTGTATATATATATATAATTTTCTTTTTCTTCTTTTTTCAATGTTTCACACCACTTTTTGATAGAAAAGTGTTGACAGACTTTCTGGGACCATCTCAAACATCCTTATATCCTATTAACATTTTTTAATTTTGCAAAAATGATTAAACTGCATAACAATTTACAATTTTAGACTAATAAACCACAAAGCATCTTTAAATGAATAAAAACTACAATGAGCTGGAAACAATGAAACACATCACAGTGAATGACCATCAAGGACTAATTAAAACACATGTGTCATAATGAATCAGATCAACTCTGAGAAAGTAAGCTAGTCTCTTAAGTACACATTCTTAAATTAATTTACATAATTGCAAATTGTATATTTTGAATCCCGAGAGCTTCCATTCAGAAAGAACATATAGGCTTTACAATGGAAACAATTGTCCATTACAGCTTAAAAAAAAAAAAAAATCCATGGTCATTAGTCTTAATATGCAATTTGAACATGTAATTCTGTCAAAGCTATAATTATTAAACTAGATATGCTACAGTGAAGGCAGCAGAGCAATGTTCCAGCTAATGCATGAAGGCCCTTTGAATAGTAAATCCTTCAAGTGCAATTTAGAGAATTATATAGGAGTTTTATGTATGTTCAAAACCAAGGGGTAAAAATAAACATATTTCCCCCTTGAATTAAGTTTATTTTTCTTACCCCATTAGCAGATTTTTTTTTTAAACTTAAGTTAAAACTCACTTAATTTGGATGTTTTCAAGAAAACAAGAGCACTATGAATCCATAATCTTGCTGCAGCCTAGACCAAATATACATTGCATTCATTTATTCCTAAATACATCAAATAAAACTCAACACGTGTGAAAAACCACATCTCATTGTGTTTGACTTGAGCTTGCAGTGACAAATGAAAAACCATTTACAATAAACAATTTATTTATTTAAAAGTACTTAAAAAGCACATAACATTCTATAAATGTAAAAATACTGGGGGCGTCACAAAGTCTCTAAAGTGTCACGCGCCTTCTTCGTGGCCAATCAGCGGCAAGAATCTCGGTGACGTAAGCCTACTCAAATTACTAGTGTGTGAAGTGGGTGGAATTAATAGTGACGTCATTTCGCAGCATCATCGTACCGGATAGCACGAGTCCAAGAAAGAGAAACTTGAAGAACATGAGCAAACGCCAAAAGTGACTTCCAATCAGTGGAGCACACATCCAGCACACTCTAGAAGTTTAAGAGACCCAAAGCAGACAGAAGACGATGATCGCGTCTCATTTACTGGCGTACTACTTCACCGAGCTTCACCAGGACCACGTCCAGAGAGTAAGTATGCTACAGCAGCCGGTTTATCATCGTTTCACACGGTATATCGACTTCATCAGGCCGATGGATGGATGAGTGGAGATCGCTCAGCTGATTAGTTATTAATGTAAATGGTTCACATTCTTGAACAGACACACGTGTTTGTGACAGAGAGGTCTGTGTTAAAGCACTTGTCACAAGATAACAGCACAATCATACTGATAGCAGACTCAGGGCTCAGATATTCAAGAAATATTCCGTTATATTGATTTCATATCCCAAATTCTCCGACATCGTCCGTTTATGTTTCTGTTTTATATCATAACTGTCTGGCCGTCAGATGGTCTGTAAAAGTCATTGATAGTGAACACAAAAATGCGATTGGAGAAACTTGCCAGGCGAGTTTTTGTGGCGCGCTTCTTGCCACAACGCACCTTTAACGCGCGAGCGAGCGTTGCCACGGTAACCTGACACTCCAGCGCCCTGCCAGTCACGTGCCACTCATCTTCGCGCGACTTCAGAATGTTTCATTGTAACAAAACCGTGCCGTGACCTCGGATACATTGTAACCAGTGTTGGGGAGAAACTAGTTGCATGTAACAGAATTACGTAATTTAATGACAAAATAAATGTAACTGTAATCTGTTACAGTTACTGAGAAAATAAATGTGTAATTAAATCACGATGTTACCGATTTCATAGGGGGCTACATATGAATATTTTAACACACACACACACTCACTCTCACTCTCACTCTCACTCTCACTCTCACTCTCACTCTCACTCTCACTCTCACTCTCACTCTCACTCTCACTCTCACTCTCACTCTCACTCTCACTCTCACTCTCACTCTCACTCTCACTCTCACTCTCACTCTCACTCTCACTCTCACTCTCACTCTCACTCTCACTCTCACTCTCACTCTCTCACTCTCTCTCTCTCTCTCACACACACCCTCACCCTCACACACACACTCTCTCTCTCTCTCTCTCTCTCTCTCTCTCTCTCTCTCTCTCACAC